TTTGCAGAAACGCTGAGGATCATCATTATTGATGTCAATGACAACGTGCCAGTCTTCGAGACCATCTCAGAGACTTTTGGTGAGCAGCTGGGGTTGGCACATCACGTGGGCTCCTCACTGCACCCACACATGCCCTGCCACATTCACCAGCAGCAAGGATCTTCCCCAAGCCCAGGGCAGGGCTGAGCAGTGCAGGGGCCAGGCTGGGGTTACTCAGTGCTTTCCATGAAGGCTGTGGGGCCAAGGGCAGCAGTGGGTGCTTGGAACCCTGGGGCTGTGTGGGCGTGGGGTCTGCAGCAAGTCTGGCTGCTCACCAGCATGACTGCACCATCCATCTGTCTGTTCCTGGCAGTGGTTGTCCCCGAAATCTCCCCTGTGGAACTGCAAGTGGCTACTGTGAAGGTGAGGATCTGCCTACCTGTATCTGTCAGTCCGTGCAGCCTTGTTCACTTGTCCCCACCATGGGCAGGCAGGGGCCATTCCCACCCGTGCTCCTGCCGTGCTCTATCCCTGCAGGCCACAGATGCTGACTCAGGGCTGGGGGGAACCATCACCTTCTCCATCGTCAGTGTGGTGCTTGTGGAGGACAACGGGGTCAGTCGGCCCTTCGAGAACCTCTTTGGGGTGTCCACAACACCTGACAAGGGCGCCTACATCGGGAGTATCCGGTGAGGCCATGGGGCTGGGCTGGGGTGGGAGGGATGCAGCTCAGCTCCTGCCTGCTGCAGGGCCAGCACGGGCTGGAAAGGGGACAAAGCCTTTCTGGAGTCCTGCCTAGGCATGGAGGTAGGATAGAGTTCGAGGGATGGCAGGGGACGTGCTGTGCAGTGCAGTGGGATCACTGATGTCCCTGTCCTCACAGAGTGACCAGCAACCTTGATGAATCTCTGAAGGGGCAGTACAAGGTGACGGTGCAGGCTGAGGATGGTGAGGAACCGGTGCACAGAGCACAGACCATGCTGAGTGTGAGTGTCACCCCCAACCCCTGTCCCAGGACACCACCCACCCAGCCCAGCTCTGCTCACCCCTGGTCCCCACACACAGATCTTCACGGTGGATCAGAGCTACCGCGTGCGGCTCCAGTTCGTGACAACAGTGGAAGAAGTCCAGAGTAACTCCGAAAATATTAAATTGTAAGGGGTGCTGGGCCGGGGCTGGGGGTGCACGGATGGACCCACCAACTGTGTCTCTCAGCTTCATGGTCTGTGAACAGGGTGGGCCAGGCAGGTCCCCACCAGAGGAGGGGGCTTCAGGGGGTCAGTCTGCTTCCCGTGAGCAGAACAGCAGGATGTCCAGCCAGCTTCCCCCACTCTCTCTTGCTTCTAGGGCCCTGACCACCGTGACCAAGGCAGCAGTCTACGTGGTGGCCATCCGAAGCATGGAGGAAACCCGTGACACCCAGTGAGTGGTGGTGGGGAAGGGGACATGGTGGTGGCATCAGGGGTGTCACCCTGGGGCAGGGCACCACACTCCCCCCATCTCTGTGGTTCTGCAGCGTGGATGCCAAGTCAGTGATGGAGGCTTACTTCGTGTACAGCAATGGCACTGCCCTGGATGTCAATGACCTGAGCATGTGAGTGCTGGGGTTGTGCAGGGGCACTGCCACGTGCTGGAGCCAGCCCAGCTGCTCACACCTCTGCTTGCCTTGGCAGACTCATTCAGTCCGATCCGGTGGGCTTGGCTGAGCTGGTGAAACTGGGCCTGGCTGTCATTGTGAGTGGGGCCAGGCAAGGGGCACGGGGAGAGGGCAGCAACCCCTTTGGGGCAGGCTGGGGGGTTCCACTGGCTGGAAATGTGCCCTAACCCTGCTCTGTGCCAGGGCCCCGGGGAGGTGACAAAGCCCACCAAGGAGGTGGAGCTGATTGGAATTATCGCAGGATTGGCAGCATTCCTGGTCATCTTCATACTCATCATGACCCTGGTTTTGGTACTCACCACCAGGAGGTATTTCACTGCCTGCACCCCCTCCTACCACCCTCCACTGCCCCCACCCTCACCAGCACCCCCAGACCCATCCCTGTCCTCCAACTCACCCCATCCCAGCTCCTCCCCGCCCCTCTCACCCACCCCATCCCTGGGCTTTGCAGCTACAAGAGGAAGCTGAATGCCATGAAGGCTCTGAAGGTGGCCACAACATTTAACCCTGCAACAGCACAGCAGGGAGCTGGCATCCCTGGGACCAACCAGTACAACGCTGAGGGGTGAGTGGGGGGCTCCCTGCAGCAGGTGGGCAGAGACCAGGCTTGTCCCCACATCCAGGGGCTGCAGTGCCCCAAGGGGCAGCACTTACCTGCCACCCATCCCTGAGCAGGGCCAACCCCATGCTGAATCACCCGCTGGATCCCTCCCACGACCTGGGCTTCCACGAGGACTCCATCTCTGTGACCAGGTGAGCTCTGTGGGCAGGTCCCAAAGGCCACAGGCTGTCACCTCATACCTCACTTCTCCAGTGCCTGGGTCCTTTTTTACCTCCCACCCTCCATTCTCCACAGCATGAATTCCCTGGATGAAAATACAGTAAATGCACCAGCAGATGACAACTTTGAGGTCGAGGTAAGAGTGCAAAGAGCTGCCAGTGCTTGGCAGAGCACCCTGCATCTTCTTCTCTCTGCTGTGGTCTCCAGGGCCTCATGGACCCCTTGTGTCCTTTACTCTGTACCCCTCAACAGAGGGGAAAGGAAGGACAGGTGTTCCTGCCCTACATCTCTGTCCCCATCCCTTCTGACCACTCTTTCCTCCTGCAGCAGGTCAAAATGCAGCCAACAGACTCCACTGACAAGGAGGCGCTGGTGGCTGCCCTGAACCTGAAGGAGCCCACCAAAACAGCATACCTCAACACCACCTTCACCACCACGGACTTGTGAGCGGGCTCACAGGGTGCAGCAGGGCCAGAGCAGGACTCGGGCAGCTGCTTCAGTGTTGATATGTTCAGTGTCTGGCAATAAAACTGCTCCACGGGGGTCAGAGTGTCCTGTGGTCATCAGCCCAACTGCCTGGGGGGTCTCAGTCAGCTTGGAGTCATCCCTCCCAGCATGAAGTGCTGGTTTTGGGCCAGCTGGTGCCAGAGGGGAGGTGCCACTGTGGGGCTCAGCCGGGCTTCTTGTCCCCAGGACCCTCTCTGCCCCGGGGGAGGGAGGTGCAGGCAGCCCCGTGAAGAGGTTTCTGTAAGGTTTTATTACCCAACATCCACATTGACAGACTGATCCCCCCGCCCCTTCCTCCCCCCGCCCCACCCCCGAAAGAAATGAAGAGGAAAAAAAGAAGAAAATAGGTGATGAAGCTGCAGCGCTGGTGTGCCACAGCTTGGCAGTGCAGGGCTGGAGGTGAGCACAGCCTGGGGCAGGGTGGCAAGGGGATGCCCCAGAGCTCCTGGTCTTCCTGGCATGGCCGTGGCACCAGTCCCACAGCCCAAGGCACTGAGCAGAGCCAGGTCCCAGCTAGTGCCACAGCACAGAGTGGGCACTTGCCACGGCCCTGGCTGCCAGCTGGCACTTCAGCAAGCCCTTTGCAGCCCCACAGGGACAAAACAAGCCCAGGATGTACAGTGTGGGTTTAGGTGGGCAAGACTTTACCTTAACGAGGGAAAAACAGCTGCAGTGGTGACTCTGGCACCTTGAGCCCTCCTGCACTTCTGCCCAGAGGGGATGGTGCAGCTCTCCAAGCACCCCTTGTTTGCAGCCTCCTGCCCATCAGATGCTGGACACAGGCCTGGGTCCCCCTTGCTGTGGCACTGTGGGGCTGGTCCTCTGTGTGGGGCCAGGCTGGGGGGACCAAGTTCCACATCTTGGCAGGACATTGAGGTGCTGCCAGCCACAGGGATGCTGGCCCAACCACAGGGATATTCACCCCCCTGCAGACTGACCCTTCACACCCAATGCTCTTCAGCCTAGCAGAGCACAGGCAGCGTAGGAAGAGTGTTTGAAAAGATGGTCTCAGCCCCACAGGCCACCGCGGGGGAGGTGGCTCCAGGCAGGATGCTCATGGCTGAAAGTGTCTCTTAAAAAGCTCCAAAAATGCAAACACAGTTCAATAAAAGCTCCCCTCCCCCCCACCCTGTAAAACCCCAGCTGTAAAAAGTGGCAGCGTTTTGCAGTCGTCGCGTCCCCAGCTGCCGTCGGAGAGGAGAAGCCAGCGGGCCCAGCGGGACAGGTGCCCATGTCCCCAGCACATGGGGCCTTTCCAGCACCACTGGGGCAGCTGGACAGGCCTGGAGGCAGGGCAGGCTTCATGTCCACCACCAGCCGTGGTGAGGATGTGCTGCTTCCAGGCAGGTGGAGCTGGGGGCCATGGGGACAGACTCCCCAAGCACCTCCAGCCATGGTGACAGGGATGAGCAGCTCTCCATCACACATGGTTGGCTCCTGTCTCTCTCATTTGAGATCTGTCCTGGTGCCCTGTGTGGCCACATCCTCCCAGCTCCAGGGCACCCACAACACGGCAGTGTGGCAGAGAGAACAGGGAAGTTGGGGGATTGGTGCTTGCCATGGGTGGCTGTGGGGACCCACGCATGCACAGCCACGGGCTTGTTGGAGTGTGGCCCAGCCCTGGACAGGCAAAGCAATGGCAGGGCGATGCACCAGTGTCTCTCCAGCATGGGAAGTGATGCTGCTGCTTGGGGTGCCAGAGTTCAGGGCAGCCAGCAGCACACACCCTGAGCCATCTTCAGACCTGTGCCACGGGCAGGAGATGCATAGGAGCAGCTGCCTCCATCTGGAAGGAGCCACGTGCTTCCTCGTGCTGAAAAAAGCCACCAAGCACAAAGACAGGGCACCAATCTCATGTCCCAGGGCACCTCCATGGGGCTACACTCATGGGGGAACCTCAGGCTGACAGGGAGGAGCCCAGCATAGGAGATACCTTGTCCCAGTGTGCAGTGCTCCATCACCAGCACAGCCCTGCACGCTGGCACCGGGTGTCTCAGGACGCCAGGGCAGAGACCCATCCCCACTTTCTCTGGAGAAGCCCCGAGGCACCCCCACCCTGCCAGCACAGGTAGCAACTCACTCCATGGCAGGGCCGGCTCGGGAGCAGCACCGGGGCCGCCGGACGTTCTGCAGCAGAGCCCGAAAGACACTGGGCTGCCTCTTGGCCTCGCCTTTGCGGGGCGCTCCCTTGACGGAGCCGCTGCGGGTGGTTTGCGGGGTCACCACCACCTGCCGCCCGTGTTCCTCAATCTGCTTCTCCAGGTGCTTTTGGATGGCCATGCCCAGGACCTCCACCTCCATGGAGGCCCCGTACACCTCCCACGTCATCCCCTTCTCATCCCAGCTCACCTCCCGGATGGGCTCCGGAGGCTCCTCCTCCACCACCTCCGGCACCGTCCCCTTCACCTGCACCTCAGGGTATGAGGTCTGCGGGGACTTGGCCACGGGTGTCATCGGCCCAGTGGCCACTGAGCGGGTCTCCACGGGCATGGACACCTGCATCTCTGCATCCTTCTTGGAGGGCTCGAAGCGTGAGGCTGCAGAGGCTGTTTCTCTCTTGGGGAAGGTGAAGGCAGCAGCCCCACAAGGGGGGCTCATGGGGCTTAAGGCCACCGACACCAAGGACACACGGTTGTCCACTTGCGTCCCCATGTCTTGTGTCCCAGTGTCCTGGGGTGGGGTCACTTCAAAGGAGTAGGATTCACAGAGCTGCTTGGCTTTTTGGGGCTGCTGGCTGCTCCCAGCACCCACATCCTGGACTGAGCTCCTCTCAGCTTTGCCCTGGCCCAGAGCAGTAGAGCTTGGTCCTGCCTCACTTCGACCCCCAATCCCCACAGTGCTGGTGCTGGGGGGGTCTGCTTTGCATCCCTGGGGGTGCTTGGGAGCCTCATTGCTCTTTGTCTGGGGAGCAGCACCCAGGGATGCCCCTTTGCTGTCCTGGGGCTGCTGCTGGCTTGGAAGCTCAGCTGTCCCGGTGCTTGCAGTGGGCTCCACGAATGCCACATGTTTGGCAGGAGCTGGCGTGCTCCCCATGTCCTTGCTGGTTGCCTGGAGGCAGGGATCAGAAACAGGAGAAGTGGGGGCTGCTGCATCATCCTTCTGGGTGTTGGGGACCCCCATCCCTGTGGGACCACAGGCAGAGGCAGCACCGCTTGGTCCTCCGCAGCTCCCTGTTGCTACTGCCACACTCTGCTCTGCGCTGGTGTCCTGGAGAAGCGTGCCAGGAGCTGGTCCTGCTGGTGATGGCACCTTCTTCTCTGCCACCGAGTTGGCCTTGGTGCCCTGAGACTCTGCCTCAGCCACACAGCAGGTCCTCATGGCACGGGCTCCCGCAGCACAGCCGGAGCCGGGCAGGCACTCGCCTGCCACTGGGCAGCCAGGGGAGCTGGCACCGGGCTCGCAGGCGTCCTCGACCCCAGCCTGGCGGCTCAGCACCCGCAGCCCCTCGGGCTCCTTAGCGCTGCCCATGCCCAGGGAAGGTTTCTCCCATGCTAGTCCCGCCACGGGTCTGCAAGAGAGAGGACGGGGCAGTGAGGAGCAAGCAGCACACGGACCCCCATCACACCTCAGCTGCCGACTGTTTTTCTCCATGCTGCCCCTGACAACAGGTTGGGTGGCCACCTGGAGCACTCACTGTCCCTGGCACAGCCTGTGTGGTGGCACACGGTGCACAGGCACATGGGGAGGGAGGGAGGAACAATGTCGGCTGCCTACCGTAAAAGTCAGGCTTCTCCCGGCGCGGCAGGACCGGGAGCGGGATGCAGGCGCTGCTGGGGCTGGTGGAGCGGGAGACGCGGTGCAGGCACCCCTGCAGAGAGAGCGTTAGCTGGAGAATGGTCCTGAGCACCAGGCTGAGAACCGGGGGGCTCAGCAGCCCCCTCCTGTCAGTGGGAAGCTGGGCGCAGTGAGGGGTGAGAGCAAGCTGGGCCTGGGTTCCAAGGGAGGCTGCAGAGAAGGGCAGGAGCACAGGGCAGCCCAAGCCCTTCCCTCTCCACGTGAGTGGAACACAGTCCAGTGTCACCCGGCTGTCCCCAAACCTTGCTCAGCCCCATGGGGCAGAAGCAGGGCAGGAAGCCCCAAACATTCCGGGAGCTCCCCGGCTCTGGCAATGCCAGGGAGTCCCTGCAGAGCTGGGAGCACATGCATCCCGCAGGCGTGGGGCACTCCATGCCTCCGGACACGGCCACTCGTGGGTCCCGAAAAGGGCAGAGCCGAGCGGACACAGCTGGAGCCGAGCGAGTTCCCCCAAAGGGAGGCGACAGGAGCGGGGACCAGGCGGTCACCGAGGTCCCCCAGCAGTGCTGAGCCCGGAGGCGATGACCCCCGCCCCGTCTGTAGGCTCCCACCGAGCACCCCGATCCCCGGAGGGCCGCGCCGCCCGGCACCCCGACCTGCCCCGACAGCATCCCGATCCCGCGGGATCGGTACCGTGCCCGGTACCGACGCACCGCGAAGGAGCTGCGAGCCCCGGCACACGCGTGTGCACACGCACGGGCACGCACACGCCAGCACATGGCCACGGGCACACCCGCACGCACGGACACGCGTGTGCACGCCCCGGCCCCTCTTCCCCGGCCGAGCCCCGGACAAAGCCGGCCCCGCGGCAGCCCCGGCCGGGGGAGGCCGACCCGCCCCCGCCGCCCGTCCCGGGGCTGCATACCATCCCCAACCCCCCCCACCCCGGGGGTGCCGGTACGGGGCAGCGCCCGGCCCGGTCCCGCCACGTGCGCCCCGGGACCGCCGGTACCTGCGGCGGATCCTCCCGCCCGGTCCCGTCCTGTCCCGTCCCGTCCGGCCCCGTCCCGCTCAGCTCGGCTCGGCGCGGCGGCGGCAGCGGTGGCGAGCATGCGTAGGGCGGTGGCGGCGGGGGCGGTACCGTGCCCCGGGCCGCTCCCCCCGGCTGCCGCCCGCCCCGGCACCCCCAGCAGCAACGGGGAGGCGAGGGACAGCCGGCTGCCGCCTGGGGAGTGGGGGTCCCGGCACACCGCATGTCCCCCGGTGTCATCGCTGTCACCACAGCGGCCCAACCCGGGAGCCCCCCATGGTCCCACAGCCCCCCCGGTACCCGAAGCATCACCACTCCGTGTGCCCCGGGGAGCAGCATCCCGGCACTCCCCCTGCACTCGGGCACGGCAGGAAACACAGGGGGCACCAGCAGAGACAGGGGATCCCAAACCTTAGCGTAGGTCCCGTGGGTGACAACAACACAGAGCCCAGTCCCCCTCCTACCTGGTGATGGAGACTGCCTCTTCCCTCCCGGGCATTACCGGGGACGGGGCTGCGCCCCAGTCAGCCCGAGGGACCGGGACAACGTGCCAGCGTGGCGGGATGGAGATGGGCTCCCGAGTACCCCTCGCCCGAAGGTGGGGGAGGACGGGGAGGGAAGAACGGCCCCGTCTAGCTCCCGGCAGCGCTTGCCTCTGCTCCCGGGCTCAGGCTTTGTCTAACTCCTTCCCACGCACTCCCGCTCGCGCTGCGGGGGGGAAGGCGGCCTGCTCCCCTCACCTGCATCCCTGCATCCCCCCCTAAAACCTCCAGCATAACCCCCAAACTTCCCACTGCCCCTCAGCACCGTATGGGACCGGGATCCCCTCCCCGACCCAGAGATGTCAGCACAGAGACAGGAGCTATAGATCTATAGGGTCCGGAGGGGTGGGTGCTAAGGTTAGGCAGGTTTCCCCATGCTGGAGATAACATTAGCACAGGTCTCCCAGTCCTATGGATCTATAGGGTAAGGCTGGTTCCATGGGAGCTGGCACACCTGGTTGCTTGGAGACAAGGGAGGTTGGAAATGCTTCTTTCAGTAAACAGCCAGCCTGGAACAAAACCCCGAAGGCTAAAAATAGGGAGGCAGGATATGGAAATTAAATAAAAATCCTTGCCCCCCTCCCTCTCTGGGGCAGAGCGAGGCACTGAAATGTCACCAACGGGCACTCCAGTAGATGGCTGGAGAGGCTGGAGTGGGGGGTGCATCCCTGCACCCATTAATGCGTCCCCTCCTCAAGGTGTTGGTCCCCACACTTGGTCCTGCCTGCTGGTCCCAGTCCTGCAGCACTGACTGGACCCTACTGCATGCCTGCAGCGGTGGGACCTAACTCACTGTGAGGCACAGGTGTGGGGTTCTGTCCTATGGTGCCCTGCATGGAATCTGACCAGTCCCCGGCACATTCCTTTTCGGGTCCAAGGGACACCATGGACTGGGTCAAGTCCTGGCAGAGGAGGGGACAAACGCCCCTGGCCTCTGGCGGGGACTTTACCGCAGGTAAGGGGCTGCGGGGTCACATCCTGCTGCCATTTGCTTCCACCTGCCTCTCTCAGCTCCGCCAGCAGCGTCTGTCCCCATCCCCATCGGCATCTCGCCACCAGCTTGTCCCCGTCCCACCAGAGCTGGCTGGGTGTTGGGGGGCCGGGGGGGGGCATGGGGAGCATCTTTCCCTCCCCGCAAGCAGCCTTCATCCCAGGCTGGCTGCCTTCTCCTCCTCCTCTCCCCGCCCGGGCACCTCAGGGCTGGCAGGAGAACAATAGCGAGGAGGATGAGTAAGATGGTCCCCATTGCCTTGGCAACGCACTCCCGCGCTGCCGGCTCGGGAGGAGCCAGGCAGCTGCCTGAAAAGCGCCTTCTCCCTCGGCGGAGGGGGTGCTGGCGCAGGTAGCACCGCACCCCCTCCCTGGGCGCCGTGGCCCACCTCCCACGCCGCACGGGCAGCGCCACGTGAACGCACACCGGGCTCCCCCGCAGCCGCCGGCAGCCGCACACCGGAGCGGGCAGCACACACCGGAGCGGGCAGCACACACACACCGGGGCGGGCAGCACAAACACACCGGGGCGGGCAGCACCCGCACACCGGAGCGGGCAGCACACACACACCAGAGCGGGCAGCACACACCGGGGCGGGCAGCACACCCGCACACCGGAGCGGGCAGCACACCCGCTCACCGGAGCGGGCAGCACACACCGGGGCGTGCAGCACCTGCACACCGGGGCGGGCAGAACAAACACACCGGAGCGGGCAGCACCTGCACACCGGAGCGGGCAGCACCCGCACACCTGAGCAGGCAGCACACACACACCGGAGCGGGCAGCGCACACCGGGGCGGGCAGCACCCGCACACCGGAGCGGGCAGCACCTGCACACCGGGGCGGACAGCACACACCGGGGCGGGCAGCACCCGCACACCGGAGCAGGCAGCACACACACACCGGAGCGGGCAGCACACACACGCCGGGGCGGGCAGCACACACACGCCGGGGCGGACAGCACACGCACACCGGGGCGGGCAGCACGCTCGCCCCGCACTCGGCCTCCGGCTCTCCGGTGCCGGCTGTGCCGGGGAGCGGTGGGACACAGCTGGCAAGCTCTGGTTGGGAATGTAACCCCTGCTGAGCTTCCCCGCAGGGAGGAGAGGGGGTTCCCACGGCCTCTCACGGCCATGTCCCCTTCCCTCACCTTCACGCACGGCTGGCCGAGGTATCGGGCAGAGATGTCGGGTGAGGAGGTGTTAGCAGATGGCAGTGGCAGGGGATGCCCAGGGGCATCAGGATCCCGTCTCCAGCCACAGCCATGTGTCCCGTGTTGTCCTCCAAGTCCTGTCACCAGCAGGAGGACCCTCAGCGTGCCCAGAGCTGTGAGTGCCTTGGGGTGACAAGGATGTTACCCAGAGATCTGAAAGCACCAAGCATCCTAAAAACAGCACTATTTTCCCAGCTGACTCGGTGTGGATGTGCTGCGGGACAGGTATCTGATCCCTGTCAGCACCTCATGTCCCAAAACACAGCCCCTGCCACAGCCCCGTGGGATGGGAGAACACTGCATCCAGGACACTGCAGCCTGGTGGCTGAGAACATCATTCAGGATGTTCCCGGGTACAGACAGGGATATGGTCCCAGGGCCAGCTGGAGGCAGAGGCAGGAATGGGGGAGCAGAGAGGCCCAGCTCTGCCAGCTGCTCTGTGCCACTGAGAGGGACCCAAGCACAGCATCAATCAGCCAGAGCTGGGTGGTGACACTGGGGAACAACCCAGCCACACATTTCATCTCTCAGCACAGGATGAGGGAGAACCAACACAGAGAATCATATAAGCAATGAATGGTTTGGGTTGGAAGGGATCTTAAAAATCATTGAGTTTCAACATCCTGCCATGCACAGGGACAACTTCCATTAGATCAGGTTGCTCAGAGTCCCATCCAACCTGACCTTGAATGCTTTGAGGGATGGGGCAGCCACAGCTTCTCTGGGCACCCTGTGCCTGGCCCTCACCACCCTCACAGGGAAGGATTTCTTTCTAATATTTAACCTAAATCTATCCTCCTTCAGCTTAAAGACATTCCCCCTTGTCCTATCACTCCACACCCTTGTAAAAAGTCCCTCTCCAGCTTTCCTTCGGTACTACAAGGAGCTCTAAGGTCTCCTCAGAGCCTTCTCCACACTGAACAGCTTCAGCTCTCCCATCCTGTCTGCACAGCTGAGATGCTCCTGCCCTCTGATCATCAATACAATCATCTGTCGCAACCAGATGCTGCTGTTCCAGAAGAGCTAGAGCCTCTCCAACAGTGCCTCTGTGCCTTTGTGGCAGAGAGGCAGGGACTCTTCACTTCTCCTCTCTCCTTTCCCAGGGGTTCGTTTCAGCAGCTCAATCACGCCAGTGGAGTGAAAGCCCTGGCTGCATTAACAGCACACAAATGCACTGTAGTGGGTAGGTACAAAGGGAACACAAAGCACACGGTGACTTGGGCATGGGATGGGGCCACGAGTCAGAGAAGCTCATTAGGTGCTGTGAAAAACAGCAGGGCTTTGGAAGTGCAGGATGCTCCTCT